AAAAAATTGGCATTTATCGAATGCGTTTTGCAGAAACATGATGGGACTATTATCGTAAAAGGATGCCAAACGAAATTCATAGACCTATAAGGTTTACGTAATTAACAGTACATACAGATCTAAAATTGAGTAGCAAATTTTTTTTGATCAATATCAATGATTTTCTTGTAGTTTTATTGAAGCCATATGAAACAAACCTTCCTTACCGACTATAGACAAAAATTAGGTACTTAAACGATTAATGTAAAACAAAAAGCAGTCTGCAATTTAGATATCAAAGAGATAATAAATAAAGAAAAATCAAGTTGATAGAATTCGAGATTGTCTTAAAGTCATTTAAAGCTCTTGAAATAGGAGCATTTCTTGCATACTCCGTTTTACAATTTCCCCCATAAAAAGGAAGAGGTTTGTAAAGATTCTTTCGAGGAACATTGAAGTTGACCTGCTCTAGAAGAGTAGGACAAGCGATAACATCATTTATTAACTAAGTAGAATTCTCCTTTCTGTGTTGCTGGAGAAGAGGGGATTTCGCGTGTCAAAGGTATAGAACATTACTAGTGCATATAACTCCAGATACGTCATCCACGGTATTTTTGCAGAGAACCCACATCAAAATTTACAAAAAAGTCCATAGTGTAAACCGATTTTATTAATACTTTACTACTCGGAAATTGGAATCATATCTTTCAAATAAAAGGTAAATCCTTTCATTATACGTGTACGTTAAAGTTTTTGGATTCGGGTTGTGTGTTTGGACACAACAACCGAAAATCATTGTACAAATAACTAAACCGGACCCAAGTTTCTCGATAAGGGGCAACAAACATTCTTTTTTGTTCGTTTATATAAAGCAGTGGATAAAAATATCCGTATATGCAAAAGGCAAATTTATGTAGCGTTTTTACTGCATTTAAAATGCCTTATTTAGCACTTTCGAAGAGCGTTCATGCTATTGCATTAACCCTTCGGAGGGCGCGCTTTGAAAGTTACAAGAGAGGCGTGCCGCGGCAATTTAGCTGCAAGGTGCATTTCAAAGGTTGACTGAATTTCTATTTTTTTTTATGTCGACAAATCATTCAAATAACATTTAAATAAATAAATAAATTTGTGTTTATACTGAAACATATTATAAGCATTTATTTAATAAACTTTTATGCGTTATCATCAACAGAACGTTATCAACAAAAATATCTCCTTTTTTGTTATTCTTGTTTCCGGGAGAAAGAAAATTACACTGAAGATGGCACAACGCCGAAACCGGTTCGTCCCCAAAACAAATTTTAACAAGGGATGACGAAAATTCGTTCTAAAATTCATCCTTTGAAAACATCGTTTTTCTCTTAAACCTAAGAAAAGGATATCATAATAGTTACAATTTGTGCGCAAAGTATAATTTTTAAATTACACATGACAAAATACTTAAAAAATAACAATTTTGATTTAGACCTCTATTACAAACTCACTTTTCCAACGGGGCGACGCGGCAATTCAGCCGCATATATGAGACACCAACTTTCAAATGCAAATATCACTGAACTATATAACGTATCAACTGTGAACCATGCTGCATCTCAAAACTTACAAAGTCACTAAGTGGCAGTGGCCGGGTACTACAATTAGTATTTGAAAACCACAAATTACAATTTTTGCTGCTAATTTGCCGCGGCGCGCCCTCCGAAGGGTTAACCAAATGCAGATTTACGCGATTTCGAAGTTGTATGCTTCTGACAAACAACCGTGTTCCAGTCGCTTGTTCAGATCCGTATCTACCACGGTCAATTCGCACGGAGAAGAAGACATGCTAAAAAAGCCTAAAAACATATATATTAAAAACAAACTTAATGCAAAAACTTTAACTGTTTTAACCATAACCGAAAATTTGTTTGGGTAATATAATAATTTGCCGGTGCTATAAAACATAAATTGCCTAAAGTAATTATGAAACAAACCATGAGTTGATCACAAATTCATCACATCGATGTTGGATTAGCGGGACTTTTTTATCAAAATAGTTTAAAATAATAAATGAAATCTCCATCTGCGATCATTTAAACGCAGCTAGCATCGAAATGCGAAACATCAATGCTGCCACCAAGGCGAATTTATACAAGGTGGTGTTTTAAAATCAGTTGATTTATTCGCCTTACATGTATTTTGTTTTTGCTTTTACTGATTTGACAGCACACCTATCAAAAGCAAAAAACAAAATACATGTAAACTTTGGAGCGAATTGAGATTTGACATAACACCTTCCATACAAAATACATACGGTTGTCGTTATTGTAATCTAAATTCGCCAGTAACACCGCCTTGTATAAATTCGGCTTGACTGCCACTTTTTCTCATTAAACCATGTTCGAATCGTGGCATTTTTCGGAGTTCAAAGGGTTGCTTTTAGCATTTAGTTTCTTAATGCTGAAATGGAGTTGCATTTAGTTGCCTTTAGCTGACGAATTTTTTAATTGATAAATGTGCACTTAGCGCATATACGTATATTTTTATCCACTGCTTAAAATGAATGAACAAAATAGAATGTTTGTTGCCCCTTGGCAACACTTGGGAACGGTTTAGTTATTTGTACAATGATTTTATGTTGTTGTATCCAAACGCATCACCCGAATCAAAAAACTTTAACTTGTAGTCAAAGGATTAAACTTTTATTTAAAACAAAGGTTCTAGTTTATTAACAAATTCGGCTTAAACAATACACTTTTTTTTTGTAAATTTTGATCTGGGTTCTGCGCAAAGACACAGTGGATGGCTTCCACCCTTTTCTCCGGCAACACAGAAAAGAGAATTCTCCTTAGTAAGGCTTATAATCCCTTAGCGCGGTCGAAGGCAGAAGCAAGCGGAACCACAAAAAAAGACTTACATTTGACATGACTCTCGCAATGAGGGTGATTAATTTGAAAACGTGAGCAGCAGTGTTGCCATTTTCGTGCTTTTGGAGCTAGATTTAGCTCTTTATTTTTCTATTTAGCTACGAAAATTGGGTTTTAGCTCCTAGCTCTTTTCAAATTTATCTAGCACTTTTTAGCTCCAAAAACTTTTAGTGGTATTTGGTATATATAAGCCAAAACTTAAGCGTTGATAAAATGGAAAATTTCGAGATGCAGTGTATCCACCGTAAATCTTGAATCTAGGTTAAAGAATTCAAAAACTAATTAGAAGAAAATCATTTTCTGGTAGCGCGGATTTCGTTTTACCTTACTAATTTTACCTTTAAGGAGAGCTGGAAGTAAAACTTTCCAGAAAAATTTTGCGAAAAAATTATTAAAATCAAATATCTAAAATTACAGATTCTAACAGTTTGTAAAGTATTTTTATTTCACTGTTATAAGTGCCATAGCAACGAATTCGCAATACATTTGCACCTTATTTTGGTTTTAAAAGATTTTTTCAGCACTTAAACTTATAAGATTTGTTGTTTTTATTAAAACCGCCGAAAATTTAAAAACAACCTTACGTCAATAAATGGTTAACCTTTACAACAATATATATCTCTTTATTTTAGCTATCATTAGTATTATTTAGCTCTTTTTTCGACCGTTTTAGCTCCAAACGAAATTTTTCTCTGGCAACACTGGTGAGCAGGTAAATTTGCAAATAAAAGAGACCAAAATTGGCCCTTCATTTATGTAAAGAGTGGGAAAAAATACATACACAATTCGGGGGCTATTACTAAATACATTCATGTACATATTGAAACAAATACAGAAGGTGGCGCTGATACCGCTAACTCTGTCTTGAAAATTTTGACAGAGATATGACGTCATAGGAGATTTTGTGTTTTGCTTTGTTCTTCCCCTCCTCCTGACGGCTTTCAAAATGGAATTCATTTGCATTCAAATCTTCCACTCTGTAGTAAATGCAAATGTTGTGGAGTGCTCAAACAACGTTTATAATTTCACTGGCCCTAAATCTCCGCCTTTCAATTTCCGCAACAGCAATCTGGGACTCGTTCTCCTCTTCAAGTAATAACGCCGCGGCTATGGATTTCATTTTTATAATTATGTTTCCACTTAAATAAAGCCCAAACGAAATTTTATTTTTAAATTACAATGATGTAAGATATATTTAGTTATTTTAAAATATTTACGGACTTTAACTTCATAAGCTGCTATAGTTTGGTGGCAAATATTTCTTTTGTTTTGTTTCGATTTCACACATTCCTAGGCAAACAACTGATTTCGTTAGATGTTTTCTCTCTTCATCTTTCGATTCGATCGTAATGCAGAATACCTAAGTTCGATTCTTGCGGAGCGGAATGCGGGAACGTAATCGAAATGCAGAATAGGGCTGATTAACATGTACAGCGCTATTCTGCTATCCGAGTCGGAATCGCATCGGAATCAGAATTCCATTCCGACTCGAAATTGAAATGGTATTCCACAATCCGATCGGAAAATAAACATGAGATCAATTGTTTTATTGGCGATTTTGCTGAATAATGAGCAGCAAACATCTGAAAAAGTGAAGCGAAAAATTTTTCGCGATCACAGCAATCCCATGGAATTACCGGAATCAGCGTTAGTAGTATAAAAAGTGTTTTATACTAACGCCATTTCAAACTATTAATTTATATTTTACAGCTTTATTGCACTCTATAGAATAAATAAACAAGCGTTCCTCATGATTTTGAGAGACTTGCAGCCTTTTGTACAAAGAAGCTCCATTCCCGCAGTGTTGAAGTTGGGAGCAACGCTGCGATTCCTCGCCGAAGGTGGGTATCAAAGGTCTGTAGGAGTGGACTCAAGCATCGCTTTGGGAAGGAGCACCGCCTCCAAGATAATTTCAGAAATAATTACGCCCATGGAGCGGAGACTTTGCTCAAAGTGGATAAAATTGTTTATGCCTGAGCACGAGAAAAGAACCGCCAAAAGTTCTTTCTACGAACAAT